ATATATATATAAAATAATGATTAACTGCTTTGGATTATAAGAAACTGTGGTCTTATAATGTATTGCATAAAACCTCAGCTTTGGTTATATTGCCATTGGCACCTGTGCAGCTGTTAAGCGTTCCCAACCTCTTCATAGATATTATTGGATTATTATCGGAATTTATGCAAAAGCAGGAAGCTCCTCAAACCGCAACTTCTTTACATCAATTTTCAAAGTGGATTTGAAATAGTAGCAAATACGGGTCATTATATTTATTTTCAAATCAATTACTTGTTAAAGTAAATAATAATTCAAGCAAAAAAATAGAAGAAAATTTCTTCGCAGAGAAACACTAGATTCATTTTTGTCTCACAAAAAAAGGGAAATAAAATTTAAGAATTTTGAATCTATTAAATACCATATTTTTTAAAAAAAATTCCGATACCTTTTCAAATATTGTTTTGCTTAAATTTGTGCAGAATAATTAATAGGAATTTAGAATTTATCACTAACGTATTTTAAATAATATCAAAGAAGATATCGATTACTATAATTAATATATACTTTTAAAAGATATTTTAGCGAACTTGCAAATAGTAGTACCATGTAATTATTATTTATAGAAAAAAAAAAAATATCTCTAACCTTAGCCTCCAAGCGATGATGTTTATTTTGAATGTAAACTTCTGATGGGGTCGCGATTTAAAAAATTTCGAACACTCCCGAAACAATATTTCAATAATTAAGAAACAAAATACTTTTTCTTAATGTTTTTAAGCGATCGCGATTTTAAAAATTTCTAAAACTCCCGAAAACAAAAAAAAATACTAGTGACATAAAAAGAAGTTTAACAATGTTAAATTTATTCATTCGTGAATTAAAAAACACGAGCACTCCCGAAGCTATATTCACTTCAAATGTGAAAAAAAAGAATTAAAGACGGTGAAGAAAATAAAGTTAATCGAAATTTAATTTTTAAAATGACAAAATTTACACTAACGTTGACAACGTTTAAACAGATCGATACACGAATTGCAACTGATTAAATTATCTTTGAAACTTTTATAACCTATGTGGGACTTAAGGGTAACCTTTGCGCTTCAATGTAAACACACAGCTTGGAGTTAAGGTATAAAGGTAATAAAATTCTAAAATCAGTTCCAACACATTTAAAATGAAATAGACGATTGGTTTATTAACAATGATAAAATCATGTGATTGCTGTGCTTTCACATATAGGTAAATATTATCCACAGGTTTTCTGGTAAAACAATTAATAGTCCGGGAGAGAAGGACAGTTTTTAATGTCATATGATTGAGGGATTCCACGGGTAAAACGAACAGTTATCGGTGACAAGTTATCGATTTGGCTTAAATTTTTTAGGCGTATTCTACCTCTAAAAATACTCAACTAGCCAAAGTTTCAAGCCCCTATCTCATAAACAACACTCACAATCGTTAATTTCGTGAAAAGTGACATCTTTCAAAATGAAGATTGAAAAATCCATTTCTGCTCGAAAAAATGTTAATTTTGGTCAAAAAAAAAAATTGGAAAGGTACTAGTCGATGGGAAATTTTCCAAAGAATCCAATGCCGTTGGAATTTCTGAGCTATCTCTAAACGCATGCGCAGTAGATTAAAAAAACTGTTTTTTTTAAATTCATAACTCAAAAACACCTATTTCGATTTTGCTCTAATTTTCAGGAAAGACAGCCGAAAAGCTATACTTTAAAATGGTTATACCTAAAATTTGCATATTTTGAGTTTTTAACCATTTTTATGCAAAATAGTGAGCTAATTCAAATTTTTTCAAGGTTTCCTTACAGTATTTGCTTTTTTGTGCACCATCATGAGGCAATATTGGTAAAATCTTGGGATGATCACGACATATGCCAATAATTGATAGCCAATATTGGTCCATCATTGGCTACCAAGACAAAAAACGTATTCTCAAAAGCTTGGTTATTTCATTTTATTTATTAACGGGTCATGTCCTTTCATACACAATTATTCTTAAATCTAAAGTTATTTCTATAATAACATGTATTAATAAATTAGTTAATTTAACTACACGGAGAGAAAAATCTGCCTTTTATAGTATAGAAAGGTTTACATTTAATGCACAGAAATTTTCTATGCTATATAGGCATGAAATTTGAGTAATTATAGTACAATCGTATGTCTTTTTAGCATGAAACTTGTCTATGCTAATAAAGTTTGTCATATAGCCTCTTATTACATACTTATTATACTTTTAATCCAACGGCGCCATGCGAAGATCGCACATAACATCATCCTACTATTTTTGCATAAGTTCTATGCTTTTTCGGGGATAGACTCTTGCAACTGGCGATTAGGGCAGTTCCAATTAAGTAAAGGTGGGCGTGGCCTAATCGCCAGTTGCAAGAGTCTATCCCCGAAAAAGCATAGAACTTATGCAAACATAGTAGAATGATGTTATGTGCGATCTTCGCATGGCGCCGTTGGATTAAAAGTATAATAAGTATGTAATAAGAGGCTATATGACAAACTTTATTAGCATAGACAAGTTTCATGCTAAAAATTCTCAAATCTTTGCTCTATTAGTATGAAAAGTTTAAAGAAAAATAGCAGCAATCTATTTCATACTATAAAAGGCAGATTTTTCTCTCCGTGTAGAATAGCTGTATTACTAATTAAGATCAAGTACATGTCTTCTTACAACAATGTGGTGAATCTTGTAACATTACACTGGAGCCCCCGAACTTTAGACTGTGTTGACATCAAGTAAAAAAAAAATCAATTTTATTGAAAAGTAGATTAGCCTCCCTACAAATTCTATTAATCATTGAATGATATCCATAATTTGTTCTATGAAGTGATTCAGAAAACACTAAATAATTTTTAGATACTCTAGATGGAACATTGAAATTAATCATTGCCAATAATGTTGGGCATTGTATTAAACTGTTTAAGAGTTCATATAAAAAAATTAAATCAGCAAACAAAAATCTGTATGTCATCAAAGGAATGTTCAAAAGGACCTTAATTGGCTACAAAGATTGGGCCAGTATTGGAAGCCAATCATTGGTTATCAATAATGGTCCAATCTTAGTAGCCAATTAGTAACTATGAATTTGAATATTCGTTATCTGTCTTGGCAGCCAATGACAAATCAATATTGGATGCTTATTAATGGCAATATCATTCCAAAATTTAAAAAAATATGGTCCACTATTGTCAACCAATAGTTCGTCATAAAAACGGCAAAGTGTGAACGAAATTGAATTCTACTTTCAACGACAAGGGAGTCTATTCTTTTAATATTAGAGAAACCTAACATTTCATGAAATGCTTTATAATATTGGACACATTTTGTAATTTTATACCATTACACTAAGTGTTTAATATTGGCAATAGCAATTCATGAAATGTCTACAAATTTTAGACACATGGTGTATTAAATATTTATTTCACTATGTGTCAGCGCTTCATGAAATGTCTAGCCATTTCATGAACTGTCTAATTACGTTAAGAGGCTACGACATATGATCTGTTAGTATATGTTGGCAGTGACTGCAGGTCTGTCATTTTACTATGTGATTCAAAATGATACAAGAAAAAATATATTTAAAAAATTAAGCTTGATAAAATAACGCAGATTTAAAAAAATTTTAATAACTTTGTTTACAACAATCTTTGATAAATATCTGTCGCCAGGCAGACTAACATTTTAGATACAAGCAACTGTTAGAGGGAAAGTTAAGCTTGATTTTAAGCTTTTAAAAATTTAAACGTTGCACACTCTTTAGTCTAAAAAGTAAGGATACATATTCCTTTTGATATAAATTTTTTTTAATAAAATCTGTGTATCTGCGTCTACCTGTCTTAATTATATCTGAAACATATAAAATGAATGTCGAACTACTACAGGGAAAACATCAACGTCAGATTCTCATGAATGAAGAGAACAGTGTGTGTATGTATGCAGTAATAGAATAGGTACACCTGTGAAACCTCGGAAAATTGCGGTGAACATGTAAACACAAAATAGATGCTTCTCTTTGTCTATCATGAATTCACACTCGCGGAAGTAACTCTAAACCTTGATACTATATTCCTTGTTAGGAGAAAACAAAGCTTTAACTGAAATTCAATTGCATAAATCAAATTCCACGTAAACTTACTCGTGACTCAAATCTCATTTACATATCTTGAACAACTATGCTAATTTTCCTACAACCCCATCTGTTTAACAATATTAAAGAATGGAAAATTTGCATTTTTCTTATCAATCTTTCAAAAAAAAAAAAAAACTTTCATGTTGTGCTTACATCCGAAGATTAATTGAAAAATTAATTGCAAATTTATAATTATTAATTAATTAATTAATTAGAAACTTATAATTTGAAGGGCTACAATGAAGAATTATTATAAAATTCTTTATAAAAGAAATTCAAAATTGTTTAAACAAAAAATTATTACACTGAGAAAAATTTGATTCAATCAGTTATTTGACTATTATCAAACAAATATTTAATTGAACTAATTTTTTATTGAATTAAAATTGAATCAATTATTTCTGTATTTGAAACAAATACAATTTAATTGACTAAAACTTGACTTAATTAAATAAAAATATTTATTTATTAACTGACCCTCCTTTGTAATTAAATTACAAAAAAGGTAACAATTAAAAATGTTAATTTTGAACAATAATTTGGGAATTGTGAGAAATATTAAAACGCGAAGTAAAATCAGATAAACATGAAATGCATTAAAAATTCATAACAAGCGAAATGAGAATTTCATTTAAAAAATAATTTTCTAATTCTATCCTCTTATTTTTGCATTCATGCGAATTAATCTAAATTATTTAACAAACATTTTCCACAATTGTTTCCCGATTTATTACTTTTCCATTATTTTCATATTAACACTTAAAATTTCAATTATATTTTAATCCTTTGATTCTTATTCAGAGAATATGTGAATGTAAAAATTTACTAAATACAAATACAAGTAATTTAAATATAAATGTTTCTTAAATGATAAATGAATTCGTGAGATTAAAAGCTTGGAAAATAAAAAAAAAACAATATAATCTAGGATCTACTGCAATATAAGCTTTTAAAAGGATTTTTGCAACTTACCACTGTTGCATGTTGCCGCGGTCTTCCCTACTTAGAGGAAATCTCGTGTTAATTTTTTTTTCTTTTTTTTTGCTTATAATTTATTAATTAGAAATTAAAGAGGTTAATTGATTATTTGCTTACCGTGGTCGATGCACTGGAACTTCTATGTTGCTTCAAAGGAGAACTCGTACGCGTTGTTTGTTCGTCGGAATTATTTGGACGAGTTATCACTGGTACTGAGAGATTTTGTTGTGGCTCAATATCCATATAACAATGTGCTTCCAAATGATTTTGGGCCCTTATTTCTTCTAAGACTATTTTGTGAGCAGCCATATATATCATGCAGTATACCTTTATAAACAATTTTATATTAATTAAACATTTTTTAATGTATACATGTATACATAAAATTAATATGTATTAATTATATAAATATTTATACATTTATGAAAAATTAATACACTGAGAAAAATATGCTATTGAATCAACAGCATTTTTGACAAAGATATAAAAATAATTGATTTAAATGCATATGCTATAAAATTTTAAAATATTTTATAGATTTTATAGCATATGCTTTTGAATCAATAATAATTTTTATACCTTTGGCAGAAATGCTATTGATTCAATAGCATATTTTTCACAGTGTAATAATATGTCAGAACCTTGCCAGTTTTCCTCGTTTAGAAAATGCAAAATTTTATGAAAATTTTAGAAAATGCTTTATTTTATGATTTTTTCGATAATTCCTCGATAAAACAGCAAAATGTAAATAAATTAAGTTTTAAAAACTACTTTTTGTAAAAATATAATTAATAATTACAAAGAATCATTGTATTACTAGTGTTTTATTAATGTTTTTATTTATGGGGGGAAAATTATAAGGGCATTATTCACCCATTTAGAACCGATCCCCATGGAGGACTATATTCATTGTGTAGTACAGAAGGAAGAGCTCTTTATGCTCTAAGAAATAAAAAAAAGGTGTCAAAGACGTTGAAAAATGGCAAAGCGCCAATCAATGACAGAATACCCAGCGAGATTCTAAAAGAGGTAACAACTGTGTATCCAGAGCTTCTTCTCAACGTCTTTAATGCATGTTTGAAAGCTGGAGAGTTCTTTGATAACTAGAAAATACAGAAGTTGGTCCTTCTTAGGATAGGACTCGATGGGTAGGTTTATAGATGGTATGGTTCTGCAGAGACTTCAGGAAATCCTTGTAGGCGAATGCAGCCTATCAGAGAATCAATTTGGCTTTTGAAAAGGCCTATCATCACTTGATGCAATACTCATTATTGTCAATAAGACAAAGAAAGTCTAAGGTGGATCCTTTCGTATGGAATGTCACGTGTGACGAACTCCTAAGAGTAAAGGTGAATGAAAGTTTGAGATGATTAAAACGCTGGTTAGACCTCAATGACCTTTTAAATGACCATAGAAAAGAAGCCTTGGTCGTCACAGAAGGTTAACCTTCTTCCAATATAATAACATCAAGTCACTAATGGCTGCCGAGTGCAATGGATATCTTTCGAGGATGATCCCCGATGTTGGTGGCCCCAGGGAAAAGAAAAGGCAATTGGTGGCGACCGTGGGTCTAGCAAAGCAGCTGTATGCTGTCCCTGTATGGGCTGATAGAGTCCTAAAGAACTGCGGCATCTCAGATGAAATGCTCTCCGTACACGGAGACTCCGCACGGAGAATAGTTTCAACTAGTGCACTCCTAGTTCTGGCTAGCACTCCACCAGTAGATTTACTGGGCAAAGACAGACAGGAGCTCTTAACGATAAGAAAAGATCTAGCGAGCTCGCTGGAACAAGGGAACTGTAATAGTCTAAAGGTGCCTATTCGCAAAGAAGCGTCTCGTTGATAAATAACAAGACAGATGGGATGGGGAATTAAAAGGTAGAGGGACGCACCGTCTGATTCCTCACGTCATCACCGAGCTTGATAGGAAACATGGCGTAGTTGGCTATTACCTGACAGAAGCGTTATCGGGTCATGGTTGTTTCGGCCAGTACCTCCATAGGTTTAAAATAAGAAGAACTCCGAAATACATGTACTGCGATGCTCAAATTGATGACGCTAAATACCGGCTATTTTCCTGCGAGCACTGGACTGATGATAGGGAAACCATGTTTACAGTGGTTGGGATTCGATTCAACCCCGATACTATGATCTCTGTCAACAAAGTATACAAAGACGAAAGATCCGGTTTGACTGGGAGATGTCTTAATGCTCGGCAGGGATCAAGCAGAAGAGAAAGGAGGAGAAATTAGATCCCCTTTCTCTTTTGTCTAGACTTTAGCAAAAACTAAAAGAGTAGGCTACGAAGGTCCAGATTGGTAGGACCGCAATAGTGGCAAAAAGGAACCTCATCCTCGAAGATCAAAGCTTAACGGCAGTTCCACGGATTAAATCACGTCCGGGTGAAAAGGGTTTTTAGTGATTATGGGCGCTTGCGTCAAAGTCTCACAGTATTCAAGCTTGTGCAATATTCAACTTGTTTCTCTATAAAAGATTTTAAAGTCACTATAATTCCTACAATTGGAATGATCATATATTGTTTTATGTGGTCTATAATTATTAATTTTCCAAGTTAGTATGGCTATGTGGTTTGCGTATACCAGTTTATGTTTCAAAGGTCTAGGGTTCGATCCCCCATTTATGCAAAATTTTACACTCTTATTCTTAGTGTTTTATGTATAGTATATGTTTATAATAAAAAATAAATGTTAGATGTACAAAAAATGTAATTTGTAAATTAATTAAATAATTAAAAATGTTCATTAGTGTGTTAATCTAAATGAATAATATATGAAAAATTGACAAGGCATGACAGAGTAAAAGATAAATTTAATCTTTCAGTAAAGACAAACGAATAGAAAATTGCTTTCTTAAAGGATTAAACGAGAATTTTGCGTCTAGAGAGTTGAATATAACATTTCAAGTATAACTAAAAACAGATTCTCATTGAATTTGAATTTGGCGAGTCGCGGAATAGTAGGAATATTTTAAGTGAGAAATATATATATATAGAATATGCAAATAGCATTTAAATATCATTAGTTTTACTGAAGCGTTAATTTCGGTTTGTCCTTTTTTGACTCGAGTGCAATTTCAAACTCCCTACACTCACGAACATCCTGTAAACGGATGATTATTATGCTAAACGATACCACCGGCTCTATTATCAAGCTTTAAATATATACTATTCAAATAGGAAATAACAAAAAATTTAATTTTCGTATTTAATTATATTGAATTATAAAACAAATCATTTCAATTAGTATATATCATCAATAAAATCTATTTTTAAAATAATTTTTTTAATTATTTAAAAACAGTATTTAAAATTATTAGTTTTTAAATTTAAAAATTTACATCTTTTCAAGGCAGTGGTGAGAGAGTGGAAAAAAATTTTCAGAGATGGAAAGTTACTTTTAATTTTGTCGGATTAGCCGGGTTTCATTTCTTATGGATTATTTTTACCGATGCGCGCATAATTTGGTTGCATTTTATAAAATTAATTAAAAATTCTGTATACAATTATTTAACAATTTTTTTTTGTAAACATTTAATAACAAATGAGAAATTTTTTAAATTAAAAACTAAAATTTTCTTGACTGTTTTCAAGAGAAAAAAAAAGAAAAGAAAATAATATTTCATACATATTTTATAGGTAAGAAAGATTGTATTGAGTTTCTTGTAACTTATTCACATTTGTTCTGACAGGAAAAAAGAGAAAAACTTTTTAAAATATTAATATTCTCATTTTATTATTAAGAAGAATTCTCTTTGTATAATTTTCAATAAACTATTTAAGCCGTTTATATTAAATTCGACGTTACTTACCTCGTCAAAATTTAATAATATGAAATAATCTATTCTCAAGTTTAATAAAATTACATTTTTTTAAAAATATTTTAGTAATAATTTTTAATATTTAATTTAATTAAATAAAATAGTGTTATTTATTTTTATTTTATTCTAATAAATTTTTTTACTTTTCTAAAATTAATTTAAAAGTTTGTATTAAATTTTATACTAATTATTTGTTCATTATTGTGTATTAAAAATTTGGAAAATATTACAAATTTTAATTTCTTCATTACTTATATAATATTTTTATTAAAAAGTAATTTTATTTCAAAAATTTTTAAATTTAGCGCCATTGTGTATAGTTTTGTGTTACATAGTTGGCAATACAAGATTTCTAACCTAAAAATTATGTTAGTTTTTAATTTCGTGATTTTTCGTAAACAATTTTTCGTAAAAATGAAAAAAAAAAAAATTGTAAAATAAAATAATTCTATTCGTAAGTATATTCAAAAATAAAATAAAATTTGAATACTTACATATATCATGACGGCTGTTGGAAAATAAAAGCTGACCATGGTGGCATAAAATTGATACCATGAATTTTGACAAACGTTACAATCGATTCGTCCAGTTTCGGAAGTCTTGTACTCATTGCCAAGTATCAACAAGGGAGCAACACTGATACAACCTGCCATGCACCAGACAAGAGCTATCCATACGCCCATCCGTCGTGGTGTTCTCTTTACCGTATATTCCAGTGGCTTCGTGATGGCCTTGTACCTTGAAGCAAACCAACAAGATTTCAACACATGAGCAACACAGTGTACACATATACATATGTATGGATCTATTGTCACGTAGTTCGTTAATCAACTATAGCAGCCCTCGAGGTATCGTCAAAGACAAGACATGATTCAATACACAAAACTAGATTACCGTAGTTTATTATTATTATTTAATCAAAAAATGAGCACTTGACAATTTTTTTTTCAAAATTCCCTTTGTATATTGTTATGTAGAATTTCTAAACAGTGTTTAATAAAAATAGTATACTGGCAATTATTATTGTCTTCAAAAATTCATTTTACACATTTTTTCTTTACACAACTGTTTATTTAAAAGAATTCAATTTTAACACAATTTTAATTAAGCAGAATTCTTATTCAACCTAATTTTAAGTGAGTTGATTTTTTAAATGCAATTTCTAATTCGATAAATTTTTAATCAAAAGAATTTTTATTTGACGAATTTTTATTTGATAGAACATTTAAGGTGGGTGAAAGCTATAACATAATCTCAAAACTGAAAAATGGTATTTAATTCAAAGAATATTTTAAATAAAAATTAATTCCATACAATTTTAGAAGCTCTTGTTAATACACTTTTCGGAAAAAAATTATGTTAAGTTAGAAACTTTTGTTAAATAATTATATTCTAATTTTTTAAATTATTATTTAACAGATTTGAATACAATTTTAATTTGATTCAAAATCCAAATTATTTGATTTAAATAAAAATTAATTGGTCCAAATAAATATTTATTTTCCAAGATTATTTGAATCAAATAATTTTTTTTTTCAATGTAAGGATGAATAATCGTAACGTTAGCCCTATTCATTTTAAAAAATCACGTTTTACATAAAAGTTAAATTATTTTCTAATCAAATTTCAGATATATACTGGTATTTATTGGTAAAAAAATAAAATTATTTTCTTTTCATTTTTGAATAATTATTATTTATTTTTAACAAAAATGATCGCAGATGAATTACCTTAATCCAACAAGCTGCAGTAATAATTCATCTATACTATATGTGAACTTCCGTATATAATCAACAAGTGGTTCGTGTAAACGAGAATTCAATTTTTAATTGCGAATTTGATATTCTTGAATATACACAATATTGTTTATATTTTTCATTTTTTTTTTATTTTTATATTGATACATAAAAAATTCACAAAATTTACACGTTTGTCTGACTAAAACTACCTTTTACTACTGGTACAAAAATTTTTAAAAAAAATTTCAACTCTTGAAAATTGACGATACTGAAATCCACAACGTTTATGATTAAGTATTTCTATTTCCCCCAATTGGAAAGATTCCCCGGAAAGTGCCCCATGGAGGTTCTATCAGAATTCCACCGGAACTTTCAACGTAATTCCGTCGGAATTCCATCGGAGTTCCAAAGAATTTCCAATGGGATTCCAACGGAGTTCCGACGGAATTAGGACTCTAAAAATTTTGAAAAAAATTAATCGGAATTCCGTCGGAACTCCGTCGGAATCCCATCGGAAATTCTTTGGAACTCCGATGGAATTCCGAAGGAATTACGTTGGAAGTTCCGGCGGAATTCTGATAGAACCTCCAGGGGGCACTTTCCGGTGAATCTTTCCAAGTGAAAGAATTCATTTTCATTTGTTCGAATTACTATTTGATATAATTTCCATATAACCAATTTTTCATACTACAGAATTTTTATTTAACCGAAAAATCATTTAACAGAATTTCTAATTGATAGAATTTTCATTTGTCCGAAATTGCAAATGGCCGAACAAACAATCGACAGAAAGATTTCGGCGCCATTTTTAAAATCAACTAATCACAATTTTAAAGGATAATTTTTGATTGGTTGATTTTAAAAATCGCGCCGAAATCTTTCTGTCGATTGTTTGTTCGGCCATTTGCAATTTCGGACAAATGAAAATTCTATCAATTAGAAATTCTGTTAAATGATTTTTCGGTTAAATAAAAATTCTGCCTCCACAGCACCGAAACTTTCCTAAAGATTTCCTAAAGATTTTTTTCAAATGTTTGGAAATATTTGATTGCAAAGTTTAGTGAAAATTGTGTAAAGATTTAAATGTCCCAATTAAATAAATATTCAGGAAAGTTTCGCGCTAAACATTTATTCAAGTGGGACATTTAAATCTTTACACAATTTTCACTAAACTTTGCAATTAAATATACCGAACATTTCAAATAAATCTTTAGAAAATCTTTAGGAAAGTTTAGGTGCTGTGGGGATGTAGTATGAAAAATTGGTATCTTCCTAAAAATCCATTCAGTTCAGAAATTTATAACTTTGAACAAAAAACTGTCGATCACAATAAATTTTTCAGAAACTTAATAATGAAATACTATGAATAAAAATTAAGTTATAAATAACTTTCAATAGAAATATGAAAAATGATAAGAACACTATTATCCCATAAAATATTCACAGCATGATAGTGCCTAATAATATTCAACCTATAAACTTCCAACCGCATCTTAGCGTATCTTCGTAAACTTTAACTTTATTAATCCGAGTGAATATCTAAATGAAAAACCTAGTTATAGATTATAGTTACGCCATTTATTGCACTCCATCATGACACTAAGTTTTCAACTTAGTTTCCAGGTCATCTTCAAAACCTGCAAAGTTCGCTAAGTGGCTCTAATAGAATTCAACACTCTATGCACGTTTTCGAAGAATATTTAAACCATGAACCTTCGCTTCTAACTCATGGAAAATTTAAAAGAGTGAAATGCCAACAATAATAAATTGTAAAAAAAAAAAAAAAAAAAAAAGAAAAAGAAGACGACGATGAACTCATATATAAACCGATGAGAAAAAAAATTTCCAATATTTCGAGTGCTGTTAAATTTTATAATAGTTTTTTTTATGAAGGTAAACAAAAAAATAATTATTTATTTATATGGCAAACATAATATTTTAACAAAATTAATTTGAGGCAGCATAAAATTTTTGTGATAAAAAATTTTTATTCAATTCTCGAGGTCTAACAATTTTGAAAAATAATAATGAATTTTTGAGTAAAGTAATCTATTTTTGAATTTTAAAATTAAATTTTTTTGAAAATTTTTTTTTTTTTGTTAATCTTATGATTCTTTTTTTTGAGTTGGACAAAGAATTGGACAAGAATTCAGCACAAAATTTGTTTTTGAAAAATAAAAATTTTTGAAACTAGTTAGGTACAAAAAAGATGAAAATTTTATTAAAACCACTTGTAATCATATTAGGCGTTCTCATTCCAAAATTATTATTTACAGATTTTAACAAGAGTAAAAAAAATCGAAAAAAATGATTAATTATTATTATTATTATTATTATTATTATTATTATTATCATCATCAAAATTAAAAATGTTAGACTGTTAAAAATTTTGCAATATTGTTGTAAATGATTATTAAGTTATTGATAATTGATTTTCTAATGAATGAAATTATGATTATATATCTGAAGTTTAAAAGGGTGTAAATAAAGCAAACAATTACGTGCCTTGAGTTTTAATTAATCAACAGTCAACTCTGTTAAAACATTTGGATGAATAACGCGGTCGATCAATTATCTTACCGACAGTTAAATTAAAGATTGACCCAAATAGCAATGTACTCAAATAATTATTTAATTCAAATATTTTCTATTGCTAAATATAGAATTGCATTAAACGACAATATTTTCTAATTTTTCATTTTTTTTTTTTGTATATGGTACTCTATGCGTATAAGTATATTTCAATAAAACATTTTTTATTTTTTTAGATGCCGAATTTTTAATTCCGCAGAATTCTTATTTTACAAAATTATTTTTTATCCAACATTTTGTTTAGTACAATTCTAATTTAACTGAATTTTAATTTATCATAATTCTCATTCAACTGAATTTTAAGTGATTCGAATTTTTTTAATGACAGAAATTTCAATTCATTGAATTTGGCGTTTTAAGAAATCTGTCAAATAAAAATTCGTACAAATAAAAATTCAAACAAATGAAGATTCGGTGAATTGGAAATTCTGCTATTTAAAAATTCAAATCACTTAAAATTGAGTTGAATGAGAATTTATGATAAATTTAAATTCGATTAAATTAGAATGATTTTAAATAAAAAGTTGTGTAAAGAGAAATTTTGTAAAATAAGAATTCTGTTAAATAAAAATTCGGCACCTAAAAATTGAATTTAATAAAATTCTTGAAAATCAAAATCCTAATGATTTTTATGGGATAATCACGCGACTCAATTTAGCAGCTTTTACTCAAACAATATCTACTTTTTAGTAATAATTATGTAATTTTTAATTTCAAAAGTACCATATTAGCTTAAATAACAAAATTATAAATTTGCCTAAATGTCACAAATTTTTATTCATAACACGTAGGTAATTTGTTTTTAATTATTTTAATTTAAAAAAAAAAAAAAAAAATTTCACGCGAGGATTTAAAAATATAAAGAATATAATTAAAAAAAAGAAGCAGTCACAGGCAGTAACCCTTTAACTATAGAGTATAGTATGTATATATTACTTTATAATTTAGCTCTCAATTGACGTAAAGAAACTTTATAAAGGAACCATATTCTCAAGCAACAATTCTCTCGTAAGTTTTAGAGTTTAATCTAAAACGTGCCATAACTCCTAACGAGAACTTTCCAAAACTAAGGATAACTTTCAGTAGAAAGTTTTTAAAAATTTAGTTTCTCGCACACAATCCTTTAATGAGTATTTAAACTTCATCTCGGTCTATAGAATCCAATGAAAACTAAAAATTTTAAGATAGAATTCAGAAAGTGCCCAAAAATGCTTTTTAAAAGTCAATTTGTTCAACGTTTCAATTTCACAAAGATATAGCAATTGTTACCATTTTTTTTTTAATGATTTTATGACTCTTATTAATTACAATAAATAATTATTTTTTTTTACAATTTTTGCAATTATGTCTTTCATATAATTTAATATAACAAAAATAAAAAAAAATTCCAAAATCTATATAATTGTTATTAATAATTCTGAAGAGATGAAATTATTTAAATTTAAAAAATTTAATCTATATATATATAATCAGACGTCTGTCTGTACATTGATTAAAACTTTAAAATTTTGACGTAATTTGTCTTTTTAAACGTCAAGAAAATGACCATAAAAAATTTCATGTATGTATGTATGTCTGTCTGTCACAAAGCTTTGTACGTCAATCACGCAAAAACGGCTCAAGCGATTTGCATGAAATTTGGTATTAACCCAAGTTAGGTTTATAAACTTACAGATTTGAAAAATTTTAATTAGAACACTTTTTCAAAAAATCAAAAATTTTCAAATTATTAAATTTTTTTTAAATTGCTGCAAACATTTTTTTAATTGTGTTTTTAATGTCACAGCAAAGTTTGTACCACGTCAGGTTTTCGCTTGTATAATTTTTCAAAAATGGCCAAAAACCCTGTTTTGTGGGGTTTCAACCCCTATTTCCTCGAAAACGTGACGTGATGGGAAGTTTTCGACCCCGGATTCGTGTTCAGCACAAAAATTCCGTTCGGAAACAATATGTTCCATGTTATTCGCAAAATCGATGCAGGGCAGTGTAATAAATACCGTGGATGTACCAGTTATCGTCCATGTCCCAGTATCCGTCCATTTTACAAATATCTCGTATAGTAATTTAAATTATTTTTTAACAATAATTCATTCCTTTTGGCACGCAATCGACTTATTAGTTTAAGTAAACAAATAAAAGAAAATAATTTTTTTATAAATGTTATTTTGAAAATTAAACTGGACGGAAACTACACAGAAAACTAAAAGGTATTAAAATAAGCTGCAACACTTCTTATTTTAATCAAATGTTTCTTATTTTAATCCATTTTGGTATTAAAATAAGTAAAAATGGATTAAAATAAGAAGCGTTGCAGCTTATTTTAATACCTTTCAATTTTCTGTGTAGGTCTTAGGTGGACGGCAACTGGGACATCCACGGTAATATACAATTTCAATAAAAAAATTAATTTTTTTAGAACAAAATTTTTAAAATTCAAATTTGTTTTTTTTCAAATTAATGGTACTATCAATGTTTTCAAGGGTTACTGATCGCTATAATTTAAAGGGACACATGATTATGTTCTAAAAATCATTCGTTGAAATTTTCATTTTATAAAATTTTATTTATCATAATTATATTTGAGCCGAATTTTTATTTATTCGAATTAGTATTTTGCAGAATTTTCATGAAAACGATTTTCTATATTAAAAAAGTTTTTATATAACCGAAAGTTCACTTCACATAATTTTTATTTGTTCAAATATTTATTTCCTCGAATTTTCATTTAAGATAATAGGCATTTTAAAGAATTTTTATTGGGTGGAAGTTCATTGCATAGAATTTTCATTGTGATTGGTTGATTTTAAAAATCGCGCCGAAATCTTTCTGTCGACTGTTTGTTTGGCCATTTTCAATTTCGGACAAATGTAAATTCTATCAATCATATGAAATCATTTGAACAATAAATAAAATTAAAAAAATTAAAAATAATAAATTTTTTATATTTTTCAACAAAGGGAAATCTACACAATGTTTTGTGTTCTATAGTAGTGGAATAGTGTCAGGGTTGGACACAGTTTTGGTTTTTTGTTTATAAATATTTTGTTTAGATAAATTCAGTAAATTGTGGTATATGGGTGGAAAGATCTACAAAAGAGGAACACTTTTGCTGTGGGCCGTAAATTGATTGGTCCGAAATTAAAAAAAGTTATAAACATTTAAAAAAAAAACTCTAGTCAGGGTTGGACTTTTCAGTCAGGGTTGGACACTTTTTGAAAATCGAAACGCATTATTGGTAAAAACGTAAAATAACATTCGTAATGTTTTTTATTCTTATTTTTTCATGTTTATCTTTACTTATTGTTTACAAATTGTAAAGCTTCATGGGTTTAAAAAAGGAATGAACTCAAATTACAAAAAATAACGCTTTATTGTTCCAAATAACTCAATGAAATGATGAACAAAATTTATACAATTTAAGTATTATTTTTCTAATATCTTTGGCATAATTTTGCACTGAAATATCAATAAAATAAAATTTATTTATAAATTGTGTCAAATTCATAATTAATATGGGTGTCCAACCCTAACTAGAAGCATCATTTTCGAATTGTGCTAACCATAACCAGACATGTGTCGCGATTCGATTTTTCACCTTTTTTCTTCTTAAATTATGTACCCCACAATACATTCAATAAGCTTACCTTGCCGAATTCTTGCTTTTTTTTACACATTTTTAGGTTTATTCACATGTCAAACAAAACTTTTTTTGTCTCTTCGATTGCACCGAAGTCACAGGAGACGCTACTTTTGATTCTCCAAAAATGTAATGCCACAAAAAGTTAGGTTACACTACTAGAAGATTCGGCACGTACGCACACAGGTGGCGCTAGTGTTCTTATTTAAAAAAAGCCAAGTGTCCAACCCTGACACTATTCCCCTACATTAAAAAATATATGTCGAAATGAAGCATCTATAAATGGAAGTGCTGTTATTATACAATAAAATGAATTGACGTCAAAAATTAAAATGATCAATTATTGTGTTAAAATTAATAGAATGACATTGAATAACTCACCGGTCGACGGAAATCGCGCAGAGATTTAAAATGCTTGCTGTGCAACTAAGGACATCGAGACTGACCCAGAAGTCACACATGATGGATCCGAGAGGCCAACTTCCCCAAATTTCGTAAATCACTGACAATGGCATTACTAATATAGCCACAGAGAGATCACTGACAGCTAAGCTCACCAGGAGGTAGTTGCAAGGTTTCCGCAGTTTCCTCACTTTCTTAACCGCAATGCAAACCAAAATGTTTCCAATTATAGTCCCTATGATAATACTTCCAAGAAGCAGAGCAAGGAAGATGGCCTGTTAAAATAAAAATTTATTTATTAATAAATTTTTTACAAACAAATAAAAAATAATAATAATAAGTTTTCGCAAAATTATTACATTTTTCTTTAAGTTTAGGACAGAAAAACAAAAAAAAATTATTTACCCTCCAAAGCCTTTAACATTTTCCTCAATATTTTTATTTCTTTTGATTATAAGTTTCTCACTAATTTTACGAAACCTTTAAGTTTTTAATATACAAATATTTCTTTTAAATAAACTTTCTAAATATTCTCATTTTACTTTTATAACATGATTTAAAAAAAAAATACACAGAGTCATAAATTTCAAAATTTAGGATTATAAAAGTGTAGATCACATTTATATACAATATAAAATTTACGAGATGTAATCCTTATAATCCAGTTTTTAATATGCCCACTCACAATATGCCGAGAGAAACACTTTTTTTAAATCTGGTATTACTTAATTTATTATTTTAGAACGTCGGTAAAATTCACAATGTTTATAATCAACGATTTTGATGAAAAAATATTATTCTATGCAAATTATATTTTGTTTAAAAAATTTTTTTTATAACGTTACTCGATCAACAACTTTTAGAAGAAAATAATTTGTAAACAATTTTTTTATTTTCCAGATACAACATTTTTTTTAATCGTTGAATTATAAACGTTGTGAACTTCACCGACCATATTGTAGAAAATAAATAAAATTTCATTTAAATCATAACTAATAATAATTATTATCATTAATTGCAAGCAATTAATACTGTGTAGAATGTAATTAAAAAATTAATTCATTTAAGGTAGTAGTACGGTGTGACGCTCGAAAATCGATGTTGATTTACGAATTTTTTTTAAGCGGGTAAATAAAAAGCGATCGTTACGAAATTTAGATATGTTTTCATTGTCGTCTTAAACTATATAAACAAAATTTTTTTACAATAATTAATGTTAATTTGTTAATAATTTTAAACATCGAAGTCGACTCCTCGAAAAAGACAGAAATTTTTCAGTACACTCCAGGGCCTTTCGCTGTCACCCAAAATGAAAAAAACTAAAGATATTATTGTTCTACAGACATAAATCGAAGTCTGATACCAATAAAATTCACATTTTTAAACAAAAAAAAATAATAAAATTTTAGACTTGTGAAAAATTTTTTTGAAAACCATCTTTTTTTCATCATAAATTGTTAAAAAAACTTAATATATTAATAAACAATTTAATGTTTTTTTGGTATCAGACCTTTTTAAATGTGTCAAGAATAACAGATTAAATTTTTATCTCAATCGATTAAATAGTTTTGCTGGGGAGTTTACCGAAACTTTGAAAACGTAGTTTCGAGAAAATCGCGTTTAAAGATTCAGTAGCAGTTTATTAGTAAAAAAAAGTATGCTTACATTAATCGACTACACCTGGTGCATATAGTACGCCTTCGGTTTCCTCAAAATTATCATTTTCAGCGGTTTAAAAAAAACAAAAAAACGTCTGGTCGAAGCAGCTACTGTCAGCGCGTCAATACTCGTCTACACTGACCACGACACGCTCTCTTCTTTTCACAATAAAATTAATAGTATTGCGAATTTTGGTTTGAGATTTTGAGGATATATTTTTAATATGTTTTTCTTTTAGAAAATGTAATTTTAAAAAATCGATTTTTTGACCCCCACACACGGAGAAAATCTGAAAGCAATGAGTATTTTTTCTCATAGCACTGGCTATACTGTGTAAACCAAAAAGTTAAATTTCAAAACTCTGAATGTTTTCCACACAGCACTGAATGCTCTGCAGAAAATAATCACAACTTTTTTTGACAGTAAACAGAGTTTCGTTTCATATTAGTTGACAAAAGATTATTCAGAACTACAAATGTAGCAATAAATTCTTTGCTCGAAGTCGTGACTGCTTTTCTCACAGCTCTGAGTACTGTGTAGAATTATTTTTTAGAATTTAGAAAACAAAGGAACGTTTAACGTCAATTAAAAAGAAGATAGCCATGGTTATTTTTTCTTTTCAAATATTGATTTTAATTGACATGTTTATAAACAGTTAATGAATAACAGAAATAAAGAAATGAAGACTTCAAAAAGTCTTTTTAAAAACTATCGCCTTTTTTTTAATTTTTCAGTTATATAGCAAATAAAGTTATTATACAATAATGAAATAATAAATAATTATTTTTTAAATGAATTATTATATAGATAAATTTTAAATATTTATTTGTATTTCACAAGTTTTTTGATTTTAAGATTTCTTAGCTAATATGAAATTACAACCTAATCTAAATTTATAGATAATTATGATTAAAAAATATTAAGTTTCAACATTATTATTTTAAATATTTACAGGGACTGTCTCGAAATATTTGTGTCGTGTCCGTGTAGTGTCGCGACTCGACACGTTTGAAAACAATTAAAAGTATCGTGGCGAGACCCGACACTTTTAAAAATTTTCAAACGTATCGTGGCACGACCCGACACAGTTAAGAAATTCATAATTGTATCGTGGCGAAGCACGATACGTTTAGAAATTTGTAATCGTATCGTGGCAGGACTGGACACGTTTACGAATTTCCAAAAGTATCGTGGCGCGACTAGGCACAATAAAAATTTGAGAATCGTATCGTGGGGCTAAACTACACGACACAATACAAAAATAATTATGAATTTCGTGTCGCATACAATGAAACTTGTTGATCAACATCTTGACAGTTTATTAATCCTTCAATAACATTTCAAGAAATAAAATTAAAATAAAATAGATATAGATTGAATATATATCAAATGTAAATTATTAAATTTATATTATATTATATTATATTATATTATATTATAATATTATAATATTATAATATTATAATATTATATTATATTATATTATATTATATTATATTATATTATATTATATTATATTATATTATATTATATTATATTATATTATATTATATTATATTATATTATATTATATTATATTATATTATATTATATTATATTATATTATATTATATTATATTATATTATATTATATTATATTATATTATATTATATTATATTATATTATATTATATTATATTATATTATATTATATTATATTATATTATATTATATTATATTATATTATATTATATTATATTATATTATATTATATTATATTATATTATATTATATTATATTATATTATATTATTTCCACGAATTTCTGTTTTCATCTTATACTGTTTATTTTCATGTATTTCTTTTTGTATTATCAACAACTTATTGTCTAGTATGTAAACAAACCACACTTAAAATTAAAAATTATTTTTGTTCAATAAAAGTAATAGATTAATTTAATTTATTAACGTTTTAATATTATTATGATTTAAAGAATTGAAAAAAATGTAAGACTTGATTACGAATTCAATATCAGTTTTTTAAAATTCAAAATGGCGGATCCAATATACCGAATCAAAATAACTAAAAATGGGCAAATTCGTCTAAACCATGTTACCCAGGGGTTTTCGGGGTCGCTGATTACGAATCTGACATCAGTTTTTCAAAGTTCAAAATGGCGGATCCAATATGGCGGAAGACAAAATAAAAAATTAATCGGATTGTATTAAAAACCTATTACTCGGGGGTTTTCAGGGTCATTGATTACGAATTGTGACAAAAGTTTTTCAAAATTCAAAATGTCCCAAAAAACGCTCGAGTAACAAGTTTCAAAAGATCCGATCCTTTTTAAAAAATTGTTCAGCATATTAGATCCGCCATTTTGAATATTAAAAATAGGAAAAGAACTAGGCGCAATTGCGCCTACATCTAGGGTTTCGTGGCGCTTTAAATTTTAATGTCAACTACTGGGACATGTCAACTATAGGGACATGTCAACTATATGGACATGTCAACTATATGGACATGTCAACTATTGGGACATGTCAACTATTGGGACATGTCAATTACTGAGACAGGTCAACTACTGGGACATGTCAATTATAGGGGCATGTTAACTAATGGGACATGTAATGTCCATTCATGTAATGTCCATTCGGGAAAATGTCCATTCAGTAAATGGAGATTTGGGATCTGTGGGCCCCAACATTTGAATTTGGGAGCTCTGGTGCCCCAAAATTTGAATTTGGGATCTGTGGTGCCCCAAAATTCGAATTTGGAAGCTATGTTTGCCCAAAATTTGAATTTGGGATCTGTGGTGCCCCAAAATATACTACGGACAGACGGACGCCAAAGTGAAACTATAACACAGAAAATTAAAAGGCATTAAAATAAGCTGCAACGCTTATTATTTTAATCCAATTTTGCTTATTTTAATCCATTTTGGTATTAAAATAAGCAAAATTAGATTAAAATAATAAGCGTTGCAGCTTATTTTAATGCCTTTTAATTTTCTGTGAAGGCTTTCGGCCATGGGCCACGAAACCCTAAAAAACTGGTCTTACATTTGTAATCAGCGACCCTGAAAACTCCTCAGTAACCGGTTTCAATCCAATCCGATTAATTTTTTATTTTGTCGTCCGCCATATTGGATCCGCCATTTTGAATTTTAAAAAACTGATGTCAGATTCGTAATCAGCGACCCCGAAAACCCCTGGGTAACATGGTTTAGACGAATTTGCCCATTTTTAGTTATTTTGATTCGGTATATTGGATCCGCCATTTTGAATTTTAAAAAACTGATATTGAATTCGTAATCAAGTCTTACATTTTTTTCAATTCTTTAAATCATAATAATATTAAAACGTTAATAAATTAAATTAATCTATTACTTTTATTGAACAAAAATAATTTTTAATTTTAAGTGTGGTTTGTTTACATACTAGACAATAAGTTGTTGATAATACAAAAAGAAATACATGAAAATAAACAGTATAAGATGAAAACAGAAATTCGTGGAAATAATATAATATAATATAATATAATATAATATAATATAATATAATATAATATAATATAATATAATATAATATAATATAATATAATATAATATAATATAATATAATATAATATAATATAAT